AGATGGGGGAGATATGTGTGTACTGTCGGGGACGGTCGGGACTTATGAGATCGTTGTTTGATTTATAGAGGGAGTTCTTGGAGGGCATAAATGGAAATTAAAGAGTCTTTTGAACTTTGAAGCACCCTCATTATGATTTAATTTGGATTTTATGAAGTAGGGTTTGAGGAAAGGGAGGGTTTCGGAATGATTTCATGTAGGAGAGAAATCTTGAATTTCTAGATGCATGAGTGATTTTGGAAAATAAGGAGGGACTTTGAAGCACGCGGGTCATTATTTGAATATTAGAAAGGAGGGTTTAGCGAGGAGATATGGAATGGGTTTCATATATGAAGTGAATCTGTATATAAACTCTCTCCAAGAGTGACCTATTGTCTGATTGGATATGAATTTGATTGATTATTAATTGATTTTTTTTAGCTATAGTTCATTTTAAAAAATATCGTATGGTTAATTATTGTTAATGAGCACTTAATTTTAAATTGAAATAATAATTAAAATAAACTAATTAAAATTGATTGATATAAATTAAGAGAAAAATGATTGGAAGTGGTGATTAGTTAACTAAAATTATGTGAGTGATGAATAATAAATTAAAATTGGTGTGCGAGAATGATTGGTTGATATTATTTAATTATTTTGATAATATTGAGGATAGTAAGGTTGAGTCAGAGTTCAGTAAAATTTGAGTTCTGATTGATTTTTTATTGGTCAAGTTTATATCTAATTATGTGTGAGAAAAAAAAAATTATATCCAATCACACCTTAGGAATGCACAAGGTTTATTATATATTCAATGATCTCAGCAAAAGTTCTAATATTCACGAACCCTAAGTATTTTTGTCCGTGCGGTAGAGACGTAGGGTGATCAATAAATATTCACCTATATTCTATGGTGGTTATAGAAATCCAGGAACCTGTGGGTGTTGTTTGTACCGTTTTTGTCGTAATTTTTCTTATTGTTCTGTCGTTATTTTTGTATCATTTCATGTCGTTTATTTCATG